GCGTCAATATCGCACAAAAGAACCACCACATGAAGTAGGGTTCCACAACACCTATTATGGAATCGCAACAACATGTGATGATTCTTTCGGCAATATTCAGACGCGACTTTTTGTCATTGCTCCCCTCCCTGCCTCTAACAAAGACCCTGCATGGAGAGAAAAGGAGAAACAATACAACGAAGGATTTAGTTTAACAGTCGTGATCTAACAATGACATAATGAAAGGAAATGAGATCTAAAATAATACGCAGTCTCATCATTACCACTGCACCCGAAAATAAAGCATGGGATAGGAGGACGAAGAGGCGGATGGGGTTGATTTTCGGAGTTTCATATTGAGAAGATGGAAGAAAGGGTTCTTTTCAGGGATTGAGAGGAGGAGGAACGAACAGCAGCAGGAGATGAGTGCCACTCGGGTTTCGGAGCACGGTCTCTCCTTCACTGATTAACGAATTTATAGATTGACTCGTAATTACTTTTACTTTCCCTTCCTTCACATTTACTGAAAATTACACTCCCTACCACTGCCTCGGCCTTGGTAACGCCAGCATTGGTTATGGGCAAAAGCGACTTTCCGAATTCGGCAATATCTGATTGGGTGACACGCACGCGACAAGGATCGAAGGTATTTCACCATCGGATTAAGGGAAAAGTTTAGGAATTGACGGTGGTAAATGGGGATGTGCTTTTATAAATAGTCTGAATTTGTAGATTAACTAACTTTTTCGTTTACCAACATTACTCTATTGATCTGGTTTATGTTATTCTAACTTGAATCATAACCCTAAACCCTAAACCCTAAACCAACCCTAATACACGAACCAATCAATACCATATACTCTACAACAATAACAACACCTTATAGGCTTATACCGTAACCAATCAATAACATATATACTTTAAACCATCAACACCTTGCTCCTCCCTTATACCATCCATAACCTTCAAGACCTTATACTATATACCAACAACACCTTCTTCTATCTCCATCCCCAACTTTCAATTTATAATAAGTGTTTCATTTGAAATATAAAATGGAACCCACCTTGGCAATTGCTAGCATAATCTAGGGATGTAGATGAATAGAAATTGATAAGTGATGAATTGCTAAAATTGATGATGTGGCGGTAGGGACCTCGTTGAGAAATTGTTGTTCAATATTAGGGATGAAGATGATCAATACACTAACCCAATACCATATACTCTAAACCATCAACACCTTATACAATATCGTATTTTACGGATGGAGATGATCAATACACTAACCCAATACCATGTACTCTAAACCATCAACACCTTATACAATATCGTATACCTATACACTGATAAATTAAAATTATAACTTGGTTTTCAAAACATAAATTAAAAATTGATACTCACTAAGTATCGAACCACAAACCTCTACTTTATTGACTAAGCAAATAACGGACAATTAACCAATTAAGCTACATCACATTGATGACCATCTTGCATAATTTTGCTTTCTTATTAAGTGAAGGGTTAAAATGAACGATAAATATATCACAGGGGATTGTTTCAACTTCGGCGGGGACAGAGAGAGTGGAAAAGGGGTAATTATTCTACCAAAAAAGAAAAGAAAAGGGGGAATTAACGAAGAGTTAAATTGGACGGATTGTCTTTAGCACGCCACTACCACCCAAAATCCTTCGGAGCAAAGACATGTTGGTTCAAGTCAAAGAATAAATGAAGAAAGATGAAGTTAAGAACTCTAACTAATTTTGATTCCATATGTGGCGAATCGCTAATGGTCGGGATAACCAACATGGCAAAATCGTTAATGAGAACCTACTTTGCACACACCAAATCATTTTATCTCGTACCGATAAATGTGTAAAGAGACACGCTACAATAATTATGTCTAAATTTCCTGATAATAAGGCATGATCAGCATTTATAAGAAGATGTTAAGACAATATAAAATCGAGAAAAATAAAACAACACCTACCCTCAGACGAATCAATCAATACAATATGCTCTGGACCATCAACAATTCAACACCTTATAAACCATCCCATATACCATATACTCTAAACCATATACCATATACCATATACTCTAAACCATCAACAACCTAATACACTAACCAGTCAGTAATCATTAACTTAACCATAAACACCTTATACAATAATCGCATACCTATACGCTGATAAAATTTTACATTTTGAAAATACTTGCCCAAGTAAAGTACACAAGTACTTCAAAACTGAAATTCTAACTTTCGTTTCAAAACATAAATTTAAAAAATGTCCTCACTAAGTATCTAACCACAAGCCTCTAATTAGTCTACAAGAGGTTTGTTATGTCAAGAGGGGCAAACAGTGAGAGAGTGGAATAGGGGCAATTAATAAAGAGTTAAATTGGGCGGATTGTTTTTTACCTCGTACCAATAAATGTGTAAAGAGACACGCTACCATTTACCGAATCCCAAAAAAAAGATGGAACACATAATTGTGTTTAAATTGCGTGAACGCAAGACATGATCAGGATTTAGAAGCAGAAGCAGACGCAGATGTAAATAAAAGCCCAACCTCTTCACAATCCGGATCATGTACAACAAAAGCCCACTTTTGAAGGGAATTTAAAAGCCCAACTAGACTTTGTCCTAAACGCACCGTTAATACATAAACACAAGTTAAGGCGACCTCTCCATCTGATTCGAATCAAATTGTGTCTTCTTCATCTTCTTCCTCAATTAGGTCGAAGACTGTGTTGCTTATTTCATCTTCAATTTGTGTAAATTCCACTCGGAAATAAAATGGCGAAGAACAAAACGTCGATTGTGGATACAAGGAAACGATGATTATGTGGAGATTTTAGATTCCGGTTGGAAATAAAATGGCGAAGAACAAAACGTCGATTGTGGATACAAGGATTTGTGGTTCAAAATGATGATTATGTGGGGATTTTAGATTGAAAAGGGATCTTCTCTTCGAACGTGGATACATAGATTTGGGGTTCAAAACATGATGATGTTGGGGATTTGATATTGGATTGGGAGCTAAATCGAATGTCGATCAAATGATAAAAGGATTTGAGATTTGAGATTTCAGAAACGATGATAAAAGGATTATGTTCGAACTTCGAACTAAGAGGGGACGTCCCCTCCAAGACGAATGAGGGAATAGAAATTGGTTAGGGCGGCGGGTCGTATCCATTGGGTTTAACTTCTTAATCGATATAATTAAACCGGGTACAGTTAGGTTGAAGTCCAATGAAAAACGCTTAAACGCTTCGTGATGCTTTTGGTAATTTTCCTTGCCCCGGATTTTGCCCTGGGCACCCTAGAACTGCCTATATATATATATATATATATATATATGATTTTAGCTTTTAAAACATGGTAGGACTTTGACACATCGACCCAAACATAGTTACGCATTTTCCCGTAAAAAAAAAAAAAGAAAAAAACATAGTTACGCATTTTGATTAAACATCCATAAGAATTAAATTCTTTGTTGTATGGACCATATTACGTGTATTTCCGTTTCTTAAAAAGAAAGTATGAGATTTCTGATTTGAAACTTTTTCATTCGTTATTGGGACTTGTGCCAAATTTCGGAAACAATACTCAAGGGGATAATCCCCCCAAAAGAAAAACAGAATGTGGAAAGGTTGATTCTTTCTTTTTATTAGGAAAAAATGTGAAATTAATCACAACAAACAAAAACCCCTTTTGCGCATTACGTGGGACAAGCAATTTTAAAAAAAATTAAATTATTAAAAAATGCTTTTGATAATTAAATTATATCAAATTTCATTAAAAAATATATATATCAGATTAATATCACCAAGCTGTTGACAAGTCACTCGACTAGAGACTCGAGAGCAGCGGCGGATCCACAACACAGAGAAGTACTATGCCGCATTTCATTAGAAAATTAAAACCTTAAAAAAAAAATGATTATAGTTGTTTTTTTTTTTTTGCAATTTATATTGTACCCGATAGTAAATTTAGAGAATGCATCAATAATGGAGTCTACAGAGCAATCGACGAGAAATTCATCGCTCAATTTATTGAGCAAATCAATTCTTACATGTTTCATTATTGAAAAGGTTCTCTTCGTAGTAGCTGTTGAAACGAGCAGCATCAACACTCGACTAATCAATTTGCATTATGTGTCCATCCCTGCATCCACCAGCTGCTCTAGTACATTTTTAAGGAAACAAACCTCATATTTCTCTTAGTCTTTTTCATTTTAAACTTTTAGAATTTTAGGTTTCATTGTTTTTTTTATACGCATAATCGTTGGGGCTAAAATTTCTAGGTTAAATTTAGAGTAGTGATTTGAATATGTTCATATGAATCATTTTTCTAGTTATACCAAATCTTATTATAAAATAACACTGGACCGAATGCCTAAAATCGAAATATTCATAACGACTATACTAACTACGGATCCAGAGGAGGGCTGGGCCGGGGCTCGGGGGTGGCCACCCCCTGGATCCGCCACTGCTCGAGAGTATCTTTCCATTAGACCTGGCAATCGGCTCGGGTTGGGTAATTTTTGGTTGGGACTTTCGAGTACGAGTCGGGTCATGTTGGATTGGCTGATTTTAGGTTAAATATTGACCCAACCCATTCGGTTTCGGGTTGGGTTACAGGCCGTTTCGGGTTTTGAGCGCTCTTAGAAACAATATCAAACATGGTTTATATTTTTTTTAAAGAACACAAATCTTCACATATGCATGACAATAGTTTACCTAACACATGCCAATTAACATATTCTCAAATCCTCCTATGCTAATGAAATGAAATAAAATACAAATTGCACAAGTCGTTAAAAAACAATCACAAGGGTAATGATACTACAAGAAACATAAGATATTTGATTATCCTTAAACTCCAAACATGTCATTCAAATCCTTGTGAATTTTTTAAAACATCTCACCAATTTATGTGTGATTTTATCATTTTGGGAGTGATATATATAAAATAGAACGGGTCTAATGGGTCGACCCACTAACCCACCCAACCCGACCCAAAAAATCACAGATTATTGAGTTCGGGTAATTCAGTTTACGAGTTATACAAATTCCTATTTTTCATGCGAATTTGGTTCGAGTTAATGAATCGGATTATAATTTGCGAGTTCTACTTTCCATTCGTTTCCCACCTTGACACATATTAAGAAGAAAAAATGGACAAGAAAAAGTTAAAAACATTGTTTTAAGAAAACAATCACTTGCATAACAACAACCAACAAGTTACATAATGCCGACCTCCGGAGTCGAGCACAAAAATCATCCTGAAACCCATAGAGACAATTTTTTATTATTTCATTTGATAGATAAATAATAGTTTTTTTATCAATACATTCCTTAACGAGCAACTCTTTGTTCATCCCTCTCCCGGCCCCACCTCCTCACACTCAACTGAAACTCCGCCGCCGCAACCAAAAAGGCAGCCGTCTGCACCGGGCTCAGCGCCTCCACCATCCCCGCCACAGTCACCCCGCGGAGAGAGTCGGCGATGAGCATGACCGACAGCATCGCCGACTTGAGCGAATCCACCGCCTCGTCCACCTGCGGCCTCTCCCCGTCGATCTGGCTGGCGGTCCGTCGCACCAGCCCCAGCATCGCCGGCGACGCGATGCTCTCCTGGATCGCCGCCATTGCCTCGGTCAGCATCCTCTCCTCCCTCCTGGTCTCGGCCCGGACCGCCTCGACGGCGCGGATCTGGTCCGGGGTGAGGTCCGGGACGACGCGGCGGAGGAGGGTGAAGACGGTGGAGGGGCGGAACTCGCCGAGCCAGAGGAGGCTGCGCTCGAAGGAGGAGAGCCAGGGCGGGGAGAGGAAGAGGCAGGGGCCGTCGCGGCTGGCGGCGGCGGATTTCTCCCGGTAGTAGAGCCTGTAGTGGGACAAGGACTGCTCGATCAGGGCCGCGAGTTGGTGGTCCCCTTCCTCCGGTTTTTCCGGGGAGAGCGCATCGAGGAGTTGGGACAGGAGGGTTTCCTGACGGTCCAGCCATTGGTGGAAGAAGGACTCGAACGGCGTCGTGGTAGTTGCCATTTTGGACTCTCTTTTTGTTTTTTTTTAGCGTGGGAGAGTAAGTTACAGTAGGTGTGTGAGTGAGTGAGGGGGTTTTTTGGGATTGGGCCTTGGGAGAGATGTGAGCTTGATGACCACGTGCTTGGTATTTGTGGTGGGATTTATCATTTATACCCGTGAAATGTCGGTATTTTCTTCTTCTTCTTCATTCTTTGAGTATTATTTAATTTTAGCGTGTGATATTCTTTCCTGATTTTCTTATGTGGCAAGGAATAGAAACGGCGTGTTTAGTGGTAGCTGGGATGAGATAGGGTGACAAGGCTTGGGATACAATTGGTTACTATTCTATAAGTAATTAAATTTGAATCTTCAGAACTAAGACTACCCACAACAAGCATGGGAAATAAAGGAAAAGGGAGAAAAGGGAGGAAATCCACGCAATAGGATTAGGGGTGGGCAACGGGAAACGGGTATTTGGGTATACCCGTACCCGTCCCTTTTTTAAGGGTTACGAGTACCCAAATACCCGTAATATTTATTATGGGATGGGATTTGGGATTAAGAATTTCAATAATGGATATCCGCGGATTACCCGCTAATATCTGTTTGGGTAATACGGGTACCCGTAATACCCATTATGATTTATTTCCTAAACAAATACATTATCAATACATATAATCAATTACAAATAACTTTAATATACTTTCAATAATAATGTATTAATATGGCTATGATGCTTCAATAGCAGTTCCAGTAGGCGACCATGTATATGTTGCCATTGCCAATGTGGGGATTCAAGAACTGGGGTATCCAAGGCTAGAAAAGGTACCAATTTGCTACTGCTATTTGTTTGTTTCTCTTCATCAAGCTGCAGCTTGTCTTGAGAGATATTTGTGTTAGTCCATAGACATGGTACCGGTTCTAAGGAAATACATAAATACCTTGACAAATCTGGCATAAAATTCTTGACCATATTTAATGAAAAAGAGTTAAATTCTCAAGTTCAATCCACCTTAACGTGGCACGGCTATTCAGATTATAATATTAAACTACCAAATTTCAAATTTTTTCTTGATCATCAGTCTGCTAACTGCAGTTCTATTTTTATTTAAAAAAAAAAAGAAACCGAAGAAAAACCCAAATAATAAAATTATCTAAATTTACGAGTAACCCTCGGGTACCCGTTATCCGTCCCGTACGGGTAATGGGTACCCGTTTACCCATACGGGTTTGGGACATGGGATAGACTTTGGTCTCCAAATGGGACTGGGTACCCGTTCCAAACGGGACGGGTATCTCATCCCGTCCCGTTGCCCACCCCTAAATAGGATAGCATAAAAAGGAAAAAAGGGAAGTGAGGAAGGGAAAACCCTTCACCAGAAGACAAATGGAGGAGAGGGAAAAGGGGAAGGGGTGGGTAGGGCCCGACATTTTTTGTTTTGTTTTCTTTTTCTTTTTGATTGGTTTAAGTGTTTTTAATTTGAGATTATTATGTTCAAATAAAAAATAAATTATATCAAAATGTTCATCTTAATTAATTAATAAATCATATATAAAATACATAAATTGTCAAAATAAATTTATTATATCAACTTTATATTGATTTTGTGAAAAAAGACCCTCTTACAATACCCCCTTTTCCCTCCCACTTATTGTGGCCAAATCCATCCCTCCACCCTTTTTCTCCACTTTCTCAACCTTTTTTCCCTTTTTTCCCTTTCACCATTGTGAATGGTCTAAGTAGAGTCAGAAAATTCAGATCTAAAGGTTGTGAATTAAAAACATTTTATTTTCTCTAGTTTTCTTAATGGACTCTTATCTTCTTCGTTCTAACTCGGATTTCATTTTTTTTTACACAAATGGAACGAGTTCGTTGTGCTCAACAAAATGAGATCAATTTTCAATATATTTCGAGAATTTTTTTTCATACCTCCCGTTACCAACTACATACCATATGATAACTTCTTCGTTTTCAAGTCATTTTTGGAAACGTTTTCCCAAAATGAACGAGTTCATCATGATCTATTGGATCTACAAATTTCTAGGTGAAAAAAATACAGGACCAAAAATTACCATACTTTACCACTATAGTATGTGGGTGGTAACTTGTTGTAAACAATGATGAAAGTCGTAAATGACAGTTAGTATACTCAACTATCATGTATTTAACCTTCCTACCATATTGGTATGTTCACACCATCATGGTATCCTTTCTTACCATATGGTATTAAATAGGAACATATCATATGGTATTGACTGGTAAAAAATGACTCAATTTTTTTGTTGTAAATATATATATCAAAGTGAATATCAGTTTAAAGAGCACAATTAATCTAATTTATCTGTGCAAAAAAAAAAATTCAACTTAAAACGAGAGAGAATCATCCGTTAAAAATTAAAGGGGAAAAGATAAAAAGTTCTCCATAAGAGAAAAAGATGTTGATGTGAACGAGTTACTCATGGTTAGTCACCATTCCTCTGCCGCGGTGAATACCCAAACATGCATAGATTGGGAATTATTTTCATAACGTGTGTATTTTGAGAATTTTTTTTAAAACATGTGTAACTTGGGATTTTTCCTGGTATTTTTTAGTATTACATAAGAGCATACCACGTGATATGAACATACTAGACTGTAGAATTGTTGAATACATGATAGTAGGAATAGACTAACTGTCATTTACAACTTTCAACATTGTGTACCACAAGTTACCACCCCCCATACCAGAGTGGTATGGGGTGGTATTTTTTGGTCCTATATTTCCCACCAGAAATTTGTAGATCCAACAAATCATGATGAACTCGTTCTTTCTGTGCAAGAATTTTCCAAATCGACTTAAAAATGAAGGAGATACCATATAGTATGTAGGTGTTAACGAGTGGTATGAGTAGGGTGGGCATTCGGTCGGTTCGGTCCAAACCGAACCGAATTGACACTACCGAGGTTCCGATTACAGTCACATGACAAACCGAGTTTGAACCGAATTATAACACGGTTCGGTTTTCTGCCCACAACCGAAAATCCCTTGTTGTGATATTTTACTTTCGCACTTTGGTGCTGCTTCGGCTGGGCAGAAGGGCTGTTGCGGCGATGGTGTAAAAGTAGGGGTGGGCATTCGGTTGGTCCGGTTTCGACCAAACAAAAATTATGAATACTGAGTCCCCGAATTCTCCCAAACCTCAAACCGAATTCGAGCCGAATTTGTGAAACTACTTGTATTTTCTCACTTTTAAATTATTTTGCATCCCTAATATGAACAATAAATATGCAATTATATGCATCATCAATGATAAAATCAAACTTTTCAACACATAAATCATAAAACATTTCAAATATTTAAGTCTAAAAACAACTACAAACATAAAAAATCCACCATTTGGAGCTTGCAATTATAATATTTCGGTTTTTCGGTCGGAAATTCAGTTCGGTTGAAAGAACCCTAATTTCCGAACTATCTATATTTTCCTTCCGAATTCCGAATTGAATAGCATTAATTCGGTTTCAGTTCGGTTTAATTTGATTTCGGAGGATGGATTTCTGGGAGCCGTGATTTGCTGTGGTGGCGATGATGTGAGAGGCTAGTGATGGTGGTAGTCCGAGAGAGACGATGGGTTGGAGGCGGCAAGTGGCGGTGGGAGTCTGTGAGAGACAGAGGGTGGGAGGGGGCGATTGGCAATGGGAGAGGCGGAGAGAGCAGAGAGTGAGGGACGGAGTGGTCGAGTGGCTGGCTAGGGTGTTGGTGGCGGCCGGCGGCTACTGGCAATGACTACTTCCTCTCTCAATCTCACAATTAAATAGGATTAATTAATGGTGGGGTTTGGGACTTGGGTCGTCACCTCTGCTAGACAAGGAGTGGGCTATTGGGCTCAGGCTTTAGGGCTTTCTCCAAAAGGGTTGGGCTGGACTAGGGAGTTGGCCACTTGGGTTGGGTCTTAGGCAGTTGGGCTACATTTCGGTTTTTTGGTCGGAATTTTGGTTCGGTTCATACAAACCTGTATCCCGAAACATAGCATTTGCCCCTCCGATTTCCGAGCCGAATAGCCTCAATTTCAGTTTCGACCTGTTTTTGTTCGGTTCAGTTCGGGTTTACCGAACAACATGTCCACCCCTAGGTATGAGTGGCATAAATTTTTTTCTTGAAATATATTTAAAACAATGCATCTCATTTCGCATAGCACAACGAACTCATTCCCTTTTTTGGAAAAAAATGAAATTCAAATTATAACAAAAAAAATAAGAACAAATAAAAAAATCTATGTAAAATAAAAAGACTTTAATGTTTAACATTTAGATCAGAAACTCACTTAAAATAAAAGGGGCCAAATTTATTTATGTAATATCATGCTTATTGACCTTATCCGAAGCCAGTGCATTTTTACCATAGAGAAGTTCTCTTTGCTTTAGGGAATCTCATTGGTAGAACGGTTAAACTCGATTATCATACGGAAAATACGGAGAGGGGTAAGTTCGCCCGCATCGCCATTGAGCTGGATATGAGCAAACCTCTGCCGACCAGAGTTCGTCTTGACTGAGCTTGACAACAGGTTTTGTACGAAAATCTTCCAATTATTTGCTACTCATGTGGACGGATCGGACATACGGAAGATGCTTGTCCTCTCAAGCACCCGCTCCCCCTACCCTCGCCAATGGCTGTCTCGGAGCAGAACCAGAGTTCACCGCCGGCAACGGGCTCGTCGGAGGATCCCCCAGGATACGGCCCGTGGATGCAGGTCGTCAGGAAATCAAAACGCCATAATAGGAAATCGACAACAAATCAAGCAATATCTCCGGGCAATTATTCAGGAAAGATTCAAGAGGCAAACGGCGATTTGGTGAGTACAAAAGGAAAGGGGAAAACCGAGATGGGTAAGACGATCCTGGACGCAAAAGGAAATCAAGAACAGAAAAAGGGGAATGGACAGGCTAAACAAGGTAACTACAAAGGAAAAGGGGTTGTGGATCAGAAGTCTACCACGGTAACTCCAAAGCTGGACAGGCTTTAGAATGGCGCCAGGTTGGGCCCAAGAATAATGAGTCTACTTCAACTAGTAGAGTTTCTGAGCCCAATGCTCCAAATCATAAGCCCAACGCATCTACTCCGTCACATGCTACGACCCTAACTTCCCCGGTGGTGGTTGATCTGAACAACACTAGAATCCAAATCGTCTCTGTCCCTGATCTGAAACCACAAAACAAAGAGAATCGGGATCCCAATTCTAGAGAACTTGCAACTCAGAAAAATGGAAACAAACAAAAGAAGGTTCAAGCTCTTCAGCCTAAAGGGATGAGCCTCAAAGCGACGAAGCGGACTCTTCAAATACACAGTCCCGGGAAGAAGGAGAGACATCTGAATCAGAAGCAGACTTCTGTACCTATCTCCATTAAGGCGATCAAAGAATTTTACAACACTTCCCAGCGGAAAATAGAGCTTCTGCCGAAGCGGAATGGAGCCGATGCAGGAGATATTTCTATGGTGGAATCGCCACCAGCGGGCGCCCTGGCGATTATGCCTCTTGAAGGGGAAAAGGAGTTGTCGGACCTGGCTCCGAGCTGATCCCCGCCCTCTCCCTGACCTAGTCTTCTTTTCTTCTTTCTTTTATCTATCTTTTTTATGGTTTATCAAACTAACTTTAAGATTATGTCTTGGAATGTTTGCGGTGCAGGTAGCAAAAAATTTAACAGAGCTATTCGGCTTATGAGAAGCATCTACAATCCAGATTTTCTGATCATCTTCGAGCCCCAAATTAGTGGGGATAAAGTTAATTCAGTTTGCAGTAAGATGGGCTTTGACGAAGTCATTTGTGTAGACGCTGATGGGAGATCGGGTGGGATTTGGCTGGCTTGGAAATCAAGTGATTTTAAGGTTTCCTTTATGTGTGCTAGCAAGCAGCACCTCATTGTCCGAGTTTCGAAGGATGGCCATGAAGACTGGTTCCTTACGGGAGTGTATGGCAGCCCGGATTACAAATATCAATCTAGTCTCTGGTAGCATTTGATCAGTTTTAGCAACTTGTGGAGTCTTCCGTGGATTATTACAGGTGATTTCAACGCCATTTGCTCAACTACGGAGAGATTTGGTTTATATTCGGACCGTGATATCCGCCGCTGCAAGAAGTTTATGGGATGGATAAATGAGGCCGCTCTTAATGATTTGGGTTTTTCGGGTCCGTGCTATACCTGGTTCAGGGGAGACTCGTCTTCGACGCGTAGAGCTAGCCGTATTGACAGATCTTTGTGCAATGATGCGTGGAACTCAAGTTTCCCCAACACAGTGGTTCAACATCTACCTAAATTTCATTCAGACCACCTGCCTATTCTTTCAAGTTATTGCGGTCAGCAATCATCTAGTAGGGATTCAATGCCTTTTCGGTTTGAGGCAGCTTGGCTGCTTCACCCTCAATTCATCAAATTCATGGAAGACAACTGGACTAAGGATTCGAACCTCTCCAGCTCTTTGACTGAATTGACGGGCAAACTTCAAACTTGGCAGAAGGACGTTTTTAGCTCCGCAACCCGTAAGAAAAGAAGACTGTTGGCTAGGCTTCAGTGAGTCATCGTGAGACTTGCTGATTCTTTTAGTCCTGGTGTTTTGAAGCTTCAAATCAAGCTTGAGAAAGGGCTGGATCTTATTATAGCTCAAGAAGAGGTTTATTGGTTCCAGAGGGCAAATGAAAAGTGGTTCAAACTAGGGGAACAAAATACCTCTTTCTTTCACCGTCAAGCGACCAGAAGACGTAGGAGAAACAAGGTTTTAGTGTCCGCAATTCTAATGGGGACTGGATTGATGACCAGGATCGTCTCAGAGACCTGGTAATGCAATTCTATGAGATGCTGTACACTCAGGAGGAAGGGGATTACGAAGACTTGATGCCTCGAGGCATGTTTCCTCGGCTACAGCAAGACGAGTTGTTGAGTCTTCTACACCCTTTTAACATTTTGGATTATCACAGGGCCATTTTTGAGATGAAACCGATGTCAGCAACAGGGCCGGACGGGTTTCAGGAAATCTTTTACCAAAAGTTTTGGTCCTTGGTTGGCAAGAATATGACTGAGATGGCTACTCGTTTCCTTGAGACAGGGAATCTCCCTGATTTCCACGGTGGTTCTTATTCCTAAAGTCGAGCATCCTGAGACACCGGCTCAGTTTAGACCGATCAGCTTAAATAATGTGGCACTAAAAGCTATTACCAAGGCCATTGCAAACAGGCTGAAGCCTCTTATGACAAAGCTAGTAGCACCAACTCAGAGTGGTTTCATCAAAGGTAGGCAAACGAATGATAACATCCTGCTCCTTCAAGAAACCCTCCACACTCTGAGAAACAGGAAGGGCAAAAAGGGAGGACTGGTCATCAAAATCGATCTCGAGAAAGCCTATGATCGTCTTCGCTGGGGATTTCTGCGAGACACTTTGGCGGAGATAGGCCTCCCGAGCTCCTGGATAAGCAGGATTACGTGTGTCGATAGGAATCAGATGAGGATCAACTGAAATGGGGAGCTGACTTCAATCATCAAACCTACGCGAGGCGTCAGACAGGGAGACCCTTTATCCCCTTTTCTTTTTGTTTTGTGTATGGAACGTTTATCTCATCGCATTGAGCGAGCAGTTGAGGAGAAGCTTTGGAAACCAATTGCCCTTTCTAAGGATGGACCAAAGCTTTCTCACCTCTTCTTCGCTGATGATTTGATTTTGTTTGCAGAAGCCGAAGGGGGCCAGATTGATGTGATTCGATCTTGCTTGGAGGATTTTTGCCTAAGCTCGGGTCAGAGAGTTAACTTCCACAAATCTGCCATGTTTGTTTCTCCGAATGTGCATAGAGACAAAGCTCAGAGACTCAGCTCTAGGGCCGGGATTACCCTCACCAATGACCTAGGCAGATATCTGGGGCTTCGAGCCATCAATGGGAGGATCACTCAAGTGAGATACCAGGAACTTATCCTTAGAATTCAACAGAAATTGGCTACCTGGAAAACGAAGCATCTTTCAGTAGCTGCTAGGATCACCTTGGTGAAGTCTGTTGCCTCTTTTATGGCCATTTATCCCATGTTTACCGAGCAATTACCTGCTTCTGTGTGTAATTCTCTTGACATGATCAACAGGCAGTTCATATGGGGAGAAGAAGATGGCAAGAAGAAGTTCCACCCTATAGCCTGGGAGCAAATGACTCTACCGAGACAACTAGGGGGAGCTGGGATTAGACCTACTAAACTGGCTAATTAGGCGATTTTGGCCAAAGGGGCTTGGAGTTTGGTCACTGATGATCGAGCTCTCTGGGTTAGAGCCATGAGGAGCAAATATGGGAGGAGCAGATCGGGCCTGGACATTCTGAGAAAAGTAAAGGGAAGTTCCTTTGCCTGGAACAGTTTCTCCAAAACTGTTAAACTCTTGCGGAAAGGAATAGCTTATAATGTTAAAAATGGTTATGGCACTAATTTCTGGTCTGACTTATGGGTGTTGCAGGTTTCGCTTATGGAGGTGGCAATTGACGATGTTCATTTGGCCGACAGATGAAAAAAGGTGGCTGATTACTGGGAAGAGAACGGAGGTTGGAACGTTGCTGAGTTCGAGCAATACCTCCCCCCGATGTTATCAACAAAATCAGGTCGATCTGGCTGGACCCCCTGGCCAGTGATGGTGACACCCTGTTTTGGAGGATCACAGCTAACGGTAAATTCAGTGCCAAGTCGGCCTATCAAGCTTTGATTCCGGACCAAACTAATGTGGGGCAGTTAGACTGGAGAAAGATTTGGAAGCTCCATTGCCCGGAGAGAGTCCGCTTCTTCATCTGGCTTGCGTGTGAAGGTAAACTATCTACGAATGGGGTGCGCAAGCTGCGGCATTTAACTACTGATGATATATGCCCCTTGTGCAAGGAAGCTATTGAAACAAATCTTCATTGTCTTCGTGACTGCACTACCTCTAGGAAGATTTGGCAAAAGTTAATTCCTACCCGGTCCTCCCAGAACTTCTTTGCAGCTGATCAAGCTCTTTGGTTCAAAATGAACCTGGATGAGAGGCTGGCGGAGGACGTCCAAGAGGACTGGTCGAGCTTGTTTTCTCTGACTTGTTGGTATATTTGGAAGTATAGGAATGACTTTATCTTTCAGGGAAAGAAGCTGGCAGAGTCATCTCTCATCAATTATGTCATCTCCAAGGCAAGGGTTGGTTGTTAACTTGGGAGAGGGCTAGCTTGAGTCTCAATCTTACCGAGAAGCCGCAGAGGACTGAGGAACTGATTGGGTGGACAGCTCCGCCTGGAGGATGGAGGAAAATGAATACGGACGGCTCAGCTCAGGGCCAGTCAGGCTTAGCATCTGCAGGTGGAGTTCTTCGTGATAGTCAAGGTGAATGGATTGGTGGCTTTTGTTGCAAGATCGGTTCGGGATCTGCCATTCTTTCTGAGCTATGGGGTATTCATCAGGGACTCACCTTAGCGTGGCAGCTTGGTTCTCGGTTCCTTATTCTGGAAACTGACTCTAAGCTGGCCATCGACCTCATCAACTCGCGAGCAGACCCGGTGCATCCGCACTCCATGATTTTGACGGCGATCCGTAGATTGATGACACATGATTGGGTGGTCCGGATAGTTCATACGTACAGAGAGGGGAATAGAGCCGCGGATTGGCTCTCGAAGCACAGTCTCGTCTATCCCTTCGGTACGCATGAGCTAGCTGAACCACCAAGGGACCTCGAGAAGATTCTGCAGGAAGACATGGTGGGCGTGAGCTTCCCTCGCATGGTTATACAGAATGGAGATTAGTGTCTCTAGTTTAGCTGGTTGGTTTGTGGATCTGTCCTTTTTGAGGCTTTTCTGCGGCTGTTTGAGCCATCTTCTGTTTAAACTGGACTTAGTTCTGCAGAGTCCAGTGACCCCCCTGTATTGCAGATAGTTCTACTGGCCTCGGCCTCCCTTATTCAAAAAAAAAAAGAGCTTAGTTATGCAAAAGGCTAGGAAACAAATAAAGCAAGTATTTGATTAGTAAAGGAGGATCGAATCGGATTGGAGGAGATACTAATAAAGTTAGCAAAATTTCTTATGTGTGGTTCGGCTTTTAGAAGTGTTTTCCGTTTTAAAAGCTGAAGCAGGGCCAAACACTTCTAAAAGTTCGGCTTTTGAAAAGCCGAAAAGTGCTTTTGTATAACATAAAAGTAGAAGCTCCGATTTGGAGGTTTCTGCGAAAAGCTGTTTTGAAAATACAAGATTATCCTTACCATACTTTAATTTTATTCAGAAAATATAATTTTATTTCATTTTAAAAATAAAATAAAGTATAAAATTATATTATTTAATATATAAGAAGTCTAACAAGATCCATTTTGACTATATTTTATTGTTTAGAATTATTATTCATAGTTTATATTATAAGTCATTTATAGTCATTTTACACAACATCTCATACACTTTTAATAAATTTTCAACCAAACACTCAAAGGGTCGTTTGGATGGAGTGTTTGTATGAGTTATTTGGGTTCAAATAACTCACAATGAGTTATTTAGACAGAAATAACTCGTTTGGCAGCGTTTTACTGAAATGAGTTATTTGAATAGTGAGTTATTTGTAAATAACTTAAAACGAGTTATTTGAAATAACTCATACCTATGTGTTATTTCGAAATAACTCGTTTTACTACTCTGCTTTTACCAAATACCACATGTCAAATACCACATTTCCATGGTTCATCCAAACGAGATACTTTATGTAAATTACTATTGAAATAACACTGAAATACCACATGAACAATAAATGAGTTATTTGACTCTACAAATATGACATTGACAATTAACTCATCGAAACGACCCCTTAGATGTTTTTTTTTTCTTTTTCTTTTGAAAAGTACTTATCTAAAAGCTCAAGCCAGAAGCTGTTTTTACAAAAGCTAAAGCAGGACTAAACCGAGCCATTGTAACACAGGAACCTTTTGGAGATTACTTGTCGTGGATGCGATGGTGGAAGAAGGGAAGGGAGAAGCTAGCAACTGAGGCGGTGGCTGCATGTCGTTGTTTTTAATTTTTACTACTCTAGTCCCTACCTCACTTGAAAGGCTGCTCGTTCTTTTCTTTCTGACCGGTGATTTGTGACTATGGATTGGGCTTGGCTCTACTGTTGGGCCAGTTTTGTCCTATGGGCTCTAGTACTGGATAGTGGATTCTAGTTGGCTTTTGGGGCCGGACTGCTACGAATAATTGTTTCTTACAAGTGGTTATGTCGGTTGCCGGGAAGAAAATGGAATTCTTATAATTTTCTTTTTGTCAAAGAAATGTACTACTTGGCACTTGGCATATTCATTTTTAGAGATGATGATGCATGTGCAAAATTTGTCGGTTTTGATTTAAGAAAAGGCAGACTTCGATGCCCATGGGCTCTCCTCCCTCTGTCTCTTGACTTCTGGGCCTGGCTCGATTAACAGAATTCGCATGTTGGACGACAAGACGTGACGCCATGGGCTACTTACAACATGTGTTGCCGGAGACGAAAGAAAGCACACTTTTGATAAGGCGGAGGGCCAGTCTACTCTAACCCAGCCTTAATTCATAAGCTGTCTGAGGGACACCTTAGCTGTTGCCCTTTTCTTTGGCGTCTCTTTAAACGTGTATACGAAGAAAAGGCCTACAACTTCGAAAGCAAACCCGACCACCATGGTCCCTGTATACCATTACCAGTACCAAAACCGATCCGAATCTCTTGCAAAGCATCTCCGTCGCTCAATCCTCTACTTTTTTGTTTTCTTTTTGGTGTATTACTAGCCGCCATCTATCAAAGACCTAACATGTTACGCATGGATGGTAATTGGCCTGTTCGGGAATGGATATATGCCAATCTATTCTAACTAGTTCGAGTTTTATTATACTCACCTTCGTACAACATTCATACGGTAAATCAAAATTATATTTATATTCATTTGGGTTTCGGTTATCCACATTTAATATTTTTTTATCTACTTTTATTATTTTTTAGTATATGTACAAGTAAAAAAGTTCAAACTATAACTAGTCATTTTTAAGAGAATGTATATTTTGAGAGACAATAATGATTTATAGAAAAATATACATATACATCTGTAATCAGACGGATACAAGTTCAGTAGTACCAAAACTATGTCCGCCTATTATCCATAATGTTTGAGTTCGTATTTTATTAATACTACCAAATCATTGATTTAGTTCAAATTGTATTCTATTTAATTAAGTTGGATTTGAACAAATTAATATTTTTCCAACCTACAACATACACCAAAATCCACACCAGTAACTAAATGGCCCAAAAGCGTCACAAAATGAGCCTATAGTATATTCTGTAAGTTGTAACAGCTACTCATTCCTCGACGAGAAGATTCAGCTTGTTGGGCTCTATCAAATACTTTTCCAATTCAAGACTAACAAAAGCCCACATATTAGATGAAGGCACGAAGCCATCAATAACACAAGCTGCCATTTGTTTTCATTTTTGCACATTTCGCAAGGAACTAACTACACAATGTTACAAGTAGGTTGGGCTGATAATCAGTTCGATTTGGTTCGGTTCAGTTATAATCGGAACTGTTTAGTTGATTCTTGTTACCCAATAAGCACTTCGTACTTACGGTTAACCGCACCATTTATATTAATCGATTAACCGTAATCGCATAGTCGGTTCTCCATTATTTTGTCAGTTAACTGAATAACCGTTAACCAAATGATTCAAAAAGGTTATACCAAAATAATCGATCGGTAACTTAACCAACATATGACCTCCTCCTTTTTTCAATTGACCATTTTTTGTAGATTTTTTCCTACATGCATATGTGTTCTTTTTAAAAGTTGTTATCATTGAACAAAAAAAAATTTACCCTAGAAATCAATCCATAATGAACTAAATTCAAAACAAGCACACAAAATGACAAATATGTCATTCTACCATCAAGTTTGATTAAAGAAGCATACAAGAATAAGACAAGTAGACAATCAACAACAATTACTCGACTCATAAACCCCACCTAAATGCATAAAATATTAAATCTTACTGGTTGTTGTCGAGCTATTGTGTGCAAGTTCTATTGTGCTCATTCTAAAGCCCTTCCGTGAAATTATTCTCATTCGAATTTAAGTCACTATTTGATATGCAAGAGATCTTGAAGGCCTTCGAACATCCCATTAATTTTGGCCTATGCCTGTGCCTCATCGACGACTATTATTTTCGGCTCTAGCTATGAGGATGGTCGTAATCGGTTAGTCGGTAAACTGTTTAATCTTTGATTCGTAACTGTTTAAACGTCGACTAGTAATTAGCTAAATTTGTTTACTAAAAAAAGACTGTTTACTATGTAATCAATTATCGGTGTAACCATTAACCATTAATTTCGGTTCGGTTATTGATTACACTGCTAATAGGATAATAGTTTACCAACCCTACAAGCAGGATGTGTTTAATTATCATTTTCCGAACTTTTATTCACTATCTGACATTGCACCATTACCCTCACCATCGTCAATTTTCTCATTCCCCCCCCCCCCCCCCCCCCCCCCCCCCCCCCGCAATTAGACCAGAAGATCCAGATCTATGATCGTGAACTCGGTCGACCAAATCAGAAACCACTGAATCGACACGGAATTAGCCATTCTGTCGGAAGGGAATTTACACAATGACAAGTGCCAACAAGCGCATCGACATCGTGTTGAGATTCTAGGCTGGATGGAATTGCTATTTAGGTTTTGGATCTTAGAGAAGAGCTAAAAGAGAAGACTGAAGGATACTAATTTGATTAGGAGACTGAAGCTATTCTGCAGTCATTATGACTGCTTTTTGAGAGGGTAATACAATCAAAATACAACTGAAACAAAGAAAGAAAATCGATGGAAGATCGATGAAAGAGAGAGAGCCGAACAAACTTCCCACTCCTATCTACCCAGAACCATTCTCTATAGATGAGGAGACCGAAGATTGTTCAAAATACCCGAACCCTTGACAACCTAATAGATCTACTATTCAAGCTGCAACCGTTACCCTTCTTCATGCAGAGATGGTCTTTAAATAGGGAGTGATCTTCAGGACCGTTTGAGGAAGACCCGTTGTTGTAGCTGTGCTTTTGATAAGCACAAGATGAGTAGCCATCTTGGTGCTTGGAGAAAGCAGCTGTCTTTTGCTTTTGGGGCCGAGGAAGACGATGAAGGATAAGGATGATGTAATCGAGACTGATCCAACCCGCTTCAAAGGATAAGCCTCATCAAGTGGCGTCGTTTGATTATCTTGGAGTGGCAGTGGCAGCGTTTTGGGAGATGGAGCTGCGGCGACGTTTTGGGAGCGTGGAGAAGTCGTTTCACAATTTCCCCCTTCAGCCGTTCCTTCATAACCTGAAACAGAACAGAGAGCAGCAAAACACACCCAAGTATATCTGATAGCAAAAGAGATAGCATAGTAGTTAAGTTCAGCAATCATTCATGGATCGCACGATACCCATAGTAGGTCAAAAGTTAAGTTCAACAATCCTCCGTGGATTGCAAAGTACAATAAACAGCATAAAATGTTTAGCAATCATATACAGATTGCAAAGAGGTCTGGAAAGACAAAAGTTCCCCTACTGGAAAGAGGTGCAGCAGGCAAAAGTTCCCCCTGGGAATATGCAATCAACAGGTTCCCCCTGAGTGTATGCATCAGCTACTGAGAAGGACCATGAACAGGAGAGTCAGAGTCTGCCTCAAGATCGTCATCCGATGATTCGGATGAGGAGTTATTGATAGCAAATATAAGACCAGGATTTCCAGGATCCCTTAATGGAGCTTGAGCAGGAGAGGGAGGAACATGAAATCCGAGACAAGTCAGAACATTCCTAGCACTGAGATGAATTGTGGGAGATTCAGATCGAAAGCCTGATATGTTGATGTTTATGTTAGCAAGAAATGCAGTAACCATCCCTCCAAAGGGCAGAGATCCTTCTCCTGGGGAGACCATAGCTCCAAACAACAGTGACCCATAGTCAAGTTTCTGACCAGCTGTAGCGTGAGATATAACCCAGATATCAAGAGGAAGAACTTGATCTCTTGAATACCCCCGAGGCAGCAATACTCGAGTCAGAAAATAGTGAAAGATTCTGAGCTTGGGACAAAGTCGAGAGGCAGGAAAGACTTCAAAAGAAGAACCAACAGGCTGCCCAGAGAACTTGGCCCCTTCAACATCAAGATTGAAATCGAACTTCCACATTTCAGATGTATGAGATAGAGCCAGACCAGAGGATGGATACCCTAAAATGATGCTCAGAGAACGCATGGGAACAGATAAAAGGTGTCCATAGACAAGAGTAGAGAACCTTTTAGTCTGAATACCTAGACAACGAAGGTTGCTGTAAAAGTGTTTCACTAGTTCAGGACAAGCGGGCTGAGCAGGGAGGTTGATAAGGAATTCCCAACCAAGAGTACTGATAAGAGGCATTATATCCATTCCAAAGGGAATGAACTCATGAGGATCAATGCGAATCTGGAATGCAAGAGCTCTTTGATCAAAGTGTTCAAGATATCGGTGATAGTTGATGATGGAGGGTTCCCTATGGATGGAGGAGATGTATGTATGAACAAACCCAAGTGACCTGAGATGTTCAGACATCTTGATGGTTTGAAGGGAGAATGAAAGGATGAGTGATCGTAAGATCAGTTACTATCTATTTATAAGAAAAGTCCATAGATCCGCAAGGAGGCAAAAGGAACTAGGAATAAGCAAATAGTGAATGCAGGCATGCGTTTAGCTTCGTAACTCAAACAAGCATGCTCAACAAATGCAGGAAAGAGACCAATCTTAGTGCAGCAGTAAATAAAGGAAATAAAAGGAGAAAAGGAAATAAATGCATGTCCAATAAGATTTGTTATGGAGAAAGGGTGCAAATCTGATTAAAAGATTTGAGACCAATTTCTGTGCATAGAGCAACAAACCTGTCAGTGGGTAGTGGCTTAGTAAATAGATCAGCAAGCTGATTTTCAGTGGGTACAAATTGAAGTTCAATTTTTCCAAGCTGTACCAAGTCTCGAATAAAGTGATGCTTAATTTCAATGTGTTTAGTGCGAGAGTGTTGGACAGGGTTTTTGGACATACAAATTGTGCTAGTGTTATCACAGCATATTGGTATTTTAGAGAATTCAAGTCCATAATCAGATAATTGTGATTTCATCCACATTAGTTGTGTACAACAACTTCCGGCGGCCATGTATTCTGCTTCAGCTGTTGACAGAGCAACAGCACCTTGTTTTTTACTAAACCAAGAAACTAGACATGGACCAAGAAAATGACTAGAACCTGATGTACTTTTTCTATCTGTAATGCTACCAGCAAAATCAGAGTCACTAAATCCAACTAGATCAAAGTAATCACATTTAGGATACCAGAGCCCAAGATCAGAAGTTCCTTTTAGGTATTTAAAAATGCGCTTAACAGCAGTTAAATGAGATTCTTTAGGACAAGATTGAAATCGAGCACATAATCCCACACTAAACTGAATATCAGGTCTACTAGCTGTTAAGTATAAAAGAGATCCAATCATACCTCTGTACTTCTTTTCACAGACTGAAATGCCATTTTCATCCTTATCTAGTTTAGAATTTGCAGCCATAGGGGTGTTACATGGATTAATGTGTTCAAGATCAAATTTCTTTAGCATAGTGTCAATGTACTTAGACTGAGAGATGAAAATTCCAGAGCTGATTTGTTTGATTTGAAGTCCAAGAAAGTATGAAAGTTCACCCATCATGCTCATTTCAAAGACATTTTTCATGGAGTTGCAAAAGTCAGAACACATATTTGGATTAGTGGATCCAAACACTATATCATCTACATATATTTGAACAATAAGAATGTCAGAATCATTTCTTTTAATGAATAGAGTTTTATCAACTCCTCCTTGTTCAAAATTTTCTTTAATCAGAAACTCTGTTAAACGATCAAACCAAGCTCGTGGAGCTTGTTTTAGACCATATAATGCTTTGGATAGTTTATAAACATGATTTGGATATTTAGGATCAATGAAACCTGGAGGCTGAGCAACATAAACTTCTTCTTTTATGACTCCATTTAAAAAGGCACTCTTTACATCCGTTTGAAAGAGAGGGATTTTCATAAAACAGGCAAAAGCACACAACATTCTAATGGATTCTATTCTAGCAACAGGGGCAAAAGTTTCATCAAAATCAATTCCTTCTTCTTGATTATAGCCTTGAGCTACTAATCGAGCTTTGTTTTTTATTATTATTCCCAGTTCATCAGATTTATTACGAAACACCCATCTTGTTCCTATTATAGATTTTCCTAGGGGCAGAGGAACTAATTCCCATACTTTTAATCTTACAAATTGAATTAGTTCCTCTTGCATAGCATTTGTCCATTCTTCATCATTTAAAGCTTCTTTGTAGTTTTTGGGTTCTAGTTGAGAGACAAAATCATATTGTCCAGGAGTGTACTTACCTCGAGTTTTGATTTTGTCATCTATATTCCCAAGGATGAGTGACTCAGGATGTCTTTTTCTGATGTGGGCTGGGGCAGGCTTTGAGTTTGAATTTAACTCCATGTTTTCAGCAGCTTCAGCATCATTAGAAGATGGTTCATGAGAGGAATCAGATGTATTTTCTATATCTGCAGTCTTAGGAGAATAGTTAAATTCAAGTGAAGGGAACACAGAGTTACAGGGATCAATTTGAGAAGATGATACTGAATCATCAAATTTTACAAAGACAGATTCTTCCACTCGTCTGGAGATTTTGTTAAACACACGAAAAGCTTGACCTTTAGTGGAATATCCTACAAAGATGCATGGATCTGATTTAGAGTCAAATTTTCCTCTATGATCCTTTGTGTTTAGGGCATAGCACTTACATCCGAAAGGATGGAAGTAGTTAAGATTTGGAGTTTTATTTTTTAGAATTTCATATGGAGTTTTGTTTAGACTTTTTCGAATAAGAACTCGATTTATAGTATAGCATGCAGTGTTTACAGCTTCAGCCCATAAGTTCTTTGGAGAATTAAATTCAAGTAGCATAGTACGAGCAGTTTCAATAATTGTACGATTTTTTCTTTCCACAACACCATTCTGTTGTGGGGTTCTAGGAGCAGAAAAAGAGTGTTTAATTCCTTTTTCATTACATAAAGTTTCAAAGTTTTCATTTATAAATTCTCCTCCATTGTCACTTCTAATTGATTTTAAGCATGCAGAGGAGTCATTTAATACTTGTGCAACAAATACTTTAAATTTTTCAAATGTTTCATCTTTTGAAGCTAAGAAAAATACCCAAGTGAATCTGGAGTAATCATCAACAATCACAAATACATATGATTTTCCTCCTAGACTTGTTATATTGCAAGGTCCAAAAAGATCCATATGAACTAGTTCATAACATGCAGTTGTAGTTATATCCTTTTTACGTTTAAAATTTTTCTTAGCATGTTTTCCAGCAATGCAAGCATCACAGAAAAAGTTTTGTTTTTCTCTTAAAAGAGGAATTCCTCTGGCAGATTTGGATTTTGACAGTTTGGATAGTTTGGCTAAGCAAATGTGTCCAAGTTTTCTATGCCAAAGAGATTCTAGATCCTGGGATAAGGCATGAAAACATGTTTCATTGAATGAATCAAGGTTATTCAGATCAACAACATAAATGTTTTCTTTTTGAGTTCCAAAGAAGAGTAGTTTTCCATCCTTAATTCTTTCTATTTTGCACAGTGAGGCTTCAAAAATTACCCTATTTCCAGATTTGCATAGCTGGCTGATAGAAAGAAGATTATGTTTGAGTCCATCCACTAGCAGAACATTTTTAATAGAGGGAAAAGGGATTTTGCCAATCGTACCATTTCCAAATACCCTACCATTTCTATTATCTCCAAAAGTAACCTTACCTCCTTTTTTATAAACTAAAGAAGAGAAGAGATTTTCATTGCCTGTCATGTGGTGGGAGCAGCCACTATCAAGATACCAGATGTTTTCAGAGGCTCCCAGGTTCTGCAAGAATTAGAGATTAGAGCATTTAGGTACCCAATAGCTTTTGGGTACTTGATTTTTGTTTAATTTCTGTTTTCTAAAGCAATAATATTCCAGATGACCAGTTTTCTTACAAAAGTGACATTTATATATAACTGGGTATCTTTTAGTGATTGAGCTTTTATGCATAAACATGTGACTTTGAGAATTAAAGGGCACATAGTTCTTGAGAGTTTTATCATGTGAGGCAAGTTTTGATTTTAGGAGTTTATTTTCATCCACGTGGAAGAAGATTCTTTCATCAAGAGAGGATTTTATCTTGTTTTGACACTCAATTGTATAGTTCAGTTTTTCTACTTCCTTGTTTTTTTGTTGCAGTTCAGTCATTATTAGACAGTATTTGCTTTTTAATAGACAACATTCTTTTTGTAGGTTTGACAGAGCATGTAGAAAATCAGGTTTTGTTCTGAGTTCATCATCCAAATCAGAGTCAGAGTCTGAGATTACCTGATGGCCGAAGCTGGTCTCCTCACCGTCTGTGCCTGACTGGTTTGAAGTAAAAGCCATGTATGCCAGATCACCATTTGAGTCTGAGTGATCTGAGCTTATATCACTCCAAGAGGCAGCAAGAGCTTTTTCTTTCGACTTAAATGGACATTTAGATCTTATATGTCCTGTTTTTCCACATTTATAGCATATTGTGGATTCATTTACAGGTTTATCTTCCTTATCATCATTGTTAAATTTCTCTAGAAAGGACATATTTCTTGATGAACTAGAGACTCTTTCAGTAGTCCCTTTGCTTACCACATTTCTTTTGTTTTGAAAGTTGTTGGGAGATCCATAATTTGCTTTTCTTAGATTGTGATCTCTCTTGAACTTCATCATTTTATGAAAACGTTTTCCAATGAAAGCAAGTTCATTTTCAAATTCTTCATCTAAATCATCATCTGATTCAAAGTAATAGTCTTGTGCTTTAGATTTAAAAGCAATGTTCTTGCGCCTTCTATTATCTTCCTTATTCATTTGGTTTATGACTTCTTCATGACTTAAAAGAGACCCTATAAGTTTTTCAACAGACAGAGTAGTTAAGTCACGAGCTTCTTCTATTGCAGTTCGTTTAGGCATCCATTCTCGAGGGAGAGACCTAAGAATTTTCCTGACAAGTTCTTTGCTTGAAAACTGCCTACCTAGTCCTTTCATTCTGTTTATGAGATCATTAAACCTCTTATACATATCAGAGATTTGTTCACCAGCAAACATTTCAAAGCTTTCGTATTCATTTAACAGAACATCAATTCGAGTTTCCCTTACCTCTGACGTACCTTCGTGAGTGACTTGTAAGGCTTCCCAAATTTCCTTTGCTGATTCGCACCTGGCAACTTGGCTTCGTTCATCAGGGCTGAGTGCCGAGAAGAGGATATGCATGGCTCTGGAATCGAGTTGAGCAGACGTCTTTTGTTCGTCGTTCCAACTGGATTCATCATCTTCATCCATTTCAAGGGGACCTTCTCGCACTATTCTCCAAAGATCACTGTCCACTCCTCGAAGATACAGTCGCATCCTTTTCTTCCAGACTGTGTAATCCGACCCATCAAACCATGGTGGATTTGTGTTTCCCGAATATCCAGCGGAAGATGTAGAACCAGCCATAGTACCTTGAGGATGTTAATCCTGATACCAAGGAACCAGGCTCTGATACCAATTGAGATTCTAGGCTGGATGGAATTGCTATTTAGGTTTTGGATCTTAGAGAAGAGCTAAAAGAGAAGACTGAAGGATACTAATTTGATTAGGAGACTGAAGCTATTCTGCAGTCATTATGACTGCTTTTTGAGAGGGTAATACAATCAAAATACAACTGAAACAAAGAAAGAAAATCGATGGAAGATCGATGAAAGAGAGAGAGCCGAACAAACTTCCCACTCCTATCTACCCAGAACCATTCTCTATAGATGAGGAGACCGAAGATTGTTCAAAATACCGGAACCCTTGACAACCTAATAGATCTACTATTCAAGCTGCAACCGTTACCCTTCTTCATGCAGAGATGGTCTTTAAATAGGGAGTGATCTTCAGGACCGTTTGAGGAAGACCCGTTGTTGTAGCTGTGCTTTTGATAAGCACAAGATGAGTAGCCATCTTGGGGCTTGGAGAAAGCAGCTGTCTTTTGCTTTTGGGGCTGAGGAAGACGATGAAGGATAAGGATGATGTAATCGAGACTGATCCAACCCGCTTCAAAGGATAAGCCTCATCAAGTGGCGTCGTTTGATTATCTTGGAGTGGCAGCGGCAGCGTTTTGGGAGATGGAGCTGCGGCGACGTTTTGGGAGCGTGGAGAAGTCGTTTCACAATCGTGTTGCCCTATTTGATTCGTTGAGGTTTGGATTCTCTATTCAGCCATGGCAGAGCAGAGGAGGTGATTGAATTCGTCAAGGAGGCAATTGCAGCAGGCCCTACTGATCAGCCGACGACTGCCCCCTCTGTCCCGTGAGCGATGATGGATAAGCTGTAACCATCATTGAGCTGCTGATGAGCTCATGAGCGGTACGTCGGTGGACCATGGAATAGATTGTAGCTGCTGCTTGCGCCGGAAGTAAGTCGGATTGTTTAAGTCGGTTAGGATTCGGAATTGTGTGTTGCTTTAGTTTGATCGGATTTGTTTGTTGCTTTGATTTGATTGAGTCGTAGCTGTTAGGATTTGATTTCGTAGGAGGTCGGGGAATAACAACTTTTTAAACCCCATCTCATTCTCGGATGTATTCCCTCTATATATATAGAGGCTTCAAATGAAATAAAGGGCAAGAAGATTAGTATTGAGAAAAGAAGAGCAGTAGCTCTGGCGGGTTCTCGCCAAAAAGAGAACAAAATCACCCCTATAATTCAACACTTTCAACATTTGGTATCAGAGCAGATGCCGCCGAAACCTACCGCCGCCGACAAAGACAGGCTTGACTCTCTTGAGGCAAGCCTCGAAAACCTCCAAGCTACAGTCCAAACTACTGTTCATGATGACGTACGAAGGGTAGAGGGGACTGTTGCAGAGCTGGGAGATTCTGTTGCAACATTGGGCGGCCGACTCCAGGCCCTCGAGACAACTTCCGCAGCTACACAAGCGAGCGTTGATGAAATCCTCCGTCTCATCCAACAACGCCGGGTAAACACGGCCGATGCCGATCGATCGTCGGCCGGATCGAGTCTCCAATTCCATCGTGGAGAGAGGAGGGATGAACGAGATGACGGAGGGCGCGATGATCGTCGTGAGGAGGCTCGTGGTGAGCGTAGACACTTCCACGACCGCTACGAGTGCCGGGACGAGCCATACAGGCATGGACGCCATGACCGCTACGATGACCAACATCGCCCGATGTTCCCAGCCCGCTATGCTAAATTGGAATTTCCCAGGTTCGCAGGGAACGACCCAACAGAGTGGTTCACGCGTGTCGATCAATTCTTTGAGTATCAACAAGTGGAGGAGGAACAAAAGGTTCCTCTTGCGTCCTATCATTTAGAAGGAGAAGCTAACCAATGGTGGCGTTGGCTTCAGAAGTCCTATATTCAAGAAGGCCTAAACGTAACCTGGGAATTGTTCGCCAATGAGCTCTGGACTCGCTTCGGACCAGCTGACGAAGATGACGCTGACGAGGCTCTCTCCCGAATCCGTCAAACAGGCACTCTTCGTGACTACCAGCGGGAGTTCGAGCGCCTGGGTAACAAGGTTCAAGTATGGACCCAAAAAGCCTTAGTCGGAGCGTTCATGGGAGGATTGCAGCCAGAAATCTTTGAGACTTTGCGCCTGTTTCGACCCGACTCGCTGAAGGAAGCCATTCGCCTAGCCCGTATTCGCGATGAACAGCTCCGACGAGCTAAAACTGTAGGTCGTCCGGTCGCAAGAACCGCCAACGAACCGTCCAACAAACCGATGGACGAACCACCCATGCGCAGCGGACGACCTCAACTGGCGAGACGCATTCCCTGGGAGGAGCAGCAACGAAGGAGGGCTGCTGGCCTTTGCTTTAATTGTGATGAAAAATTTGTGCCAGGCCATCGCTGCAAACGGCCGGCATTGCTCCTATGCGATGGGTTCGAGGAGGACTATGTGGAAGAAGTGGAAAAAGAAGAACATGAAGTCTCTTTTCATGCCATGAATGGTTTAAGTGCCGGACGCACCATGAGGATGTGGGCTAAGATTGGTTCGGCCCAACTAATGGTTCTTGTGGATAGTGGGTCGACCCACAACTTTGTGGCCTCAAAGATTGCAGCCCGTTATCACTTGCCGGTGACACACGTCAAAAACTTTGACGTGAGAATTGCGAATGGGGAACCTCTGCCATGCAATTCAAGACATGACGACGTTAAACTTGCCATACAAGGGCTGACTTTTTCTCTTTCACTCTATGCCATTGACGTAGCGGGGATTGACGTCGTACTGGGAATTCAGTGGTTGGCTTCGCTAGGTAATGTTCTTTGCAACTGGCATGAATTAACAATGGATTTTGATTGGCAAGGTCAACGAAGAAGATTGACGGGACTTGCTCCAAAAGTCCAAGAATCAGAATCACTAAAAAGCCTTCTCAAAGACATACCCCAAGGGGTTCTCCATGCTTTATGCATGCCCTCGACTGACGACGATGCATTTCGACAAATTCCGGACGCATTTCAGGATATGATTCGCGACTTTGGAGATTTGTTTGAAGAACCCACGACCTTGCCGCCATCTCGAAGCATTACACATCGCATCCAGCTCAAGGAGGCGGCCGACGCCGTCAATGTACGGCCGTACCGGTATGCACACTTTCAAAAGGAGGAAATTGAAAGTCAAGTCAACAAAATGCTCCGCGATGGTCTCATTCGACCTAGCACTAGTCCATTTTCGTCTCCTGTACTATTGGTTAAAAAGAAGGACGGAACGTGGAGGTTTTGTACAGATTACCGGGCCTTGAATGCGGTGACTGTTAAGGATCGGTTTCCAATTCCGACCGTCGACGACATGCTGGATGAGCTACACGGGGCTGCCTACTTCACCAAGCTTGACTTACGAGCTGGCTATCACCAGGTACGGATGCACCCAACAGATGTTCCAAAGACGGCGTTTCGAACCCATAACGGCCATTACGAGTACCTCGTAATGCCATTTGGGCTATGCAATGCCTCGACCACCTTTCAAGCATTGATGAACGAGATATTTCGAGATCACCTACGCAAATTTGTTTTGGTGTTCCTCGACGACATTCTCATCTACAGCAAAGATATGACCAGTCATCTTAGCCACCTACGACAGGTATTCCTCATTCTCCGCAAACACCGATTTTTTGTGAAATTCTCCAAGTGTGCAATTTGCCTCCATGAGCTCGAATATTTGGGCCACATCATCACTGCCGGAGGCGTCAAGGTTATCCCTGCTAAAATCCAAGCTATGATACAATGGCCAAGACCTACCAGTGCGACCGAGCTTCGAGGGTTCCTTGGGCTGACAGGCTACTATCGCAAGTTTGTTCGAAATTACGGCCTAATAGCTCGACCGCTAACCCAACTCTTGAAGAAGGGTCAATTTGCCTGGAAGGAAGATGCCACCGCCGCGTTCGAAGCTCTCAAAATAGCTATGACGTCAACTCCAACCTTAGCTATGCCGGACTTCACCAAGCCCTTTGTAGTCGAGACGGACGCTTCCGATCACGGGTTGGGAGCTGTCCTAATGCAAGGAGAACGACCTATTGCCTTTATGAGCCGAGCATTAGGGGTGCAAAAGCAAGGGCTCTCAGCCTATGCGAAGGAAATGATGGCCATCATTGCAGCTGTCCAACTTTGGCGGCCTTACCTTCTCGGGAGACAATTCTTCATTAGGACCGATCAAAGGAGTCTACGTTTTCTCTTGGAGCAAAGAAATACCACCCCGGAACAACAAAAATGGGTTAGTAAGCTTTTGGTCTATGATTATGTGATTATCTACAAACCTGGTCGTGAAAATCAGGCAGCTGATGCCTTGTCCCGTCGACCCCTGGTACGAGATCACGATGGGCCGCACATAACTCCGAACAAGGGGGTTATAATCCATAACGTCGAGAGAACTCGCTCACTCAGTGGGTCTCACATACAAAATGGGCCTGATCCATCAGGCGAGCCCACCTTTTCACAAGAACCCATCTTGATGACAAATGCAATCCCCACTTCACAAAACTCTCATGTGATGAAGGAGTCTCAGCAGCTCAACAGCATCCCTTCCGACGAAGTCTCCGCAGGGGCATCTGGAGATAAAGATCACCAAGCGCATTATGCCGGGGATAAATCAGAGTCACCTAATCCTTCGGAGAAATCCTTGGCCATCTCCCACTCTTTTTCAACGTTAGGTGAAGCTTTAAAAAGAGCTGTCGATCAAGATCCTTATTTGCAAGGAGTAATCCAAAAGGCAAATTCTCAGAACCCGGGGCACTTCTCGGTGAAAAGAGGTATGGCACTTTACGACGATCGTGTGGTTTTGTCCCCCAACTCTCCCCTCGTTGATCAGCTGCTGAACGAGTACCACTCCACACCCAGCGGCGGTCACTCCGGAGTCCTCCGCACCTATAAGAGGCTCGCTTCGCAATTCTTCTGGCCGAACATGTTGGAATCAATCAAACGATTCGTCGCCAGCTGTGAAGTCTGCCAACAAGCAAAGACCCAGGCTCTCGCACCGGCAGGACTTCTCCAGCCGCTGCCAATCCCCACCCTCATTTGGGATGAACTGTCAATGGATTTCATTGACGACCTGCCATCTTCCCCTGGGAAAACAGTTATCCTGGTTGTTGTCGATCGACTGTCCAAGGCAGCTCACTTCATGGGTCTTTCTCACCCATACACAGCCAAAACAGTAGCAGATGCATTCGTTAATGGAGTCGTCAAGCTACACGGGATTCCAAGATCCATCGTAAGTGATCGTGACCCTGTTTTTGTGAGTAATTTTTGGCGTGAACTGTTTAGGCAATCAGGTACCACGCTGTCCATGTCTTCCTCATACCACCCACAAACTGACGGTCAAACGGAGGTCGTTAATCGAAGCCTAGAGCAATATCTGCGATGTTTCACCCACCAACAACCTCGTCGCTGGATGACATATCTTCCTTGGGCTGAATTCTGGTACAACTCCACGTATCACCGCTCCATTGGGACAACTCCATTCCAGGCTGTCTATGGTCGGGCACCTCCAACCATCCGTTTCTACCAGAAGGATGGGACTGTCGTCCATGAAGTCGATCAAGCGCTACTCGACCGTAACGAGGTGCTCCAGGACCTTCGAGTCAACCTACAAAATACCCAGACGCGGATGAAACAGCTAGCTGATGCCGGTCGAAGGGATGAGGCATTTGAAGTGGGAGATTTAGTGTATCTCCGTCTTCACCCATATCGGCAACACTTGGTCTACCGCCGAGCTTCCCAGAAACTTGCTGCTCGCTTCCATGGACCATATCGCGTTGTCGAGCGCATTGGGCCAGTAGCTTATCGTGTGTCATTACCAGTGGGCTCAAGGGTTCACCCAGTATTTCATGTCTCTCTGCTACGTCGCTGCAACACTCCGGATACGCCAATCAACAAGGTTTCACCACCCATAGCTGATGATGGAGCTCTCGAGCTCATACCGGAGACTATTCTAGACACTCGCTGGGTTCGGCGTGGCAACAAGTTTATCGAAGAATCCCTTGTCAAGTGGCACAGCCTGCCGCGGGAGGACTCGACATGGGAACACACTGCTGCCTTGTTCGATCACTTCGATGATCATAGCCTTGAGGACAAGGCTATACTTCCAGGAGGGGGCAATGATGAGCTCATGAGCGGTACGTCGGTGGACCAGGCCTATGTAGGTCATGCAAAGGTAGGAGAGCCCAACAAACGTGGCTAAAGAGGAAGCCCATGGAATAGATTGTAGCTGCTGCTTGCGCCGGAAGTAAGTCGGATTGTTTAAGTCGGTTAGGATTCAGAATTGTGTGTTGCTTTAGTTTGATCGGATTTGTTTGTTGCTTTAATTTGATTGAGTCGTAGCTGTTAGGATTTGATTTCGTAGGAGGTCGGGGAATAACAACTTTGTAAACCCCATCTCATTCTCGGATGTATTCCCTCTATATATATAGAGGCTTCAAATGAAATAAAGGGCAAACAGATTAGTATTGAGAAAAGAAGAGCAGTAGCTCTGGCGGGTTCTCGCCAAAAAGAGAACAAAATCACCCCCATAATTCAACACTTTCAACAGCTGCCGCCTCTATTGTTTGATGAGTGGCTGATTGAATGTCAACATAAGTCGAATCGTTCAAGAGAAGTAGCAGCGAGCTCGAGGACAGTGTTCAACATCGACTTCAGGGGGATATTTGAACTAGTTAAGGTCCCATGATTTGGACAGATTTTGTGGTGGAAATCTGGGTTTAGGGATGGGAAAAGAGATACGATTGAGATGTTGTCAGATTTGGACAAATTTCTTGGTGGAAATCTTAAACTCCGGCCAGAAACCAAAAACCCTCGTGAACGGATGCTTTCGTCGGGAAAGAGGAAGAGGAAAAAGAGAGGAGATGGGCTTATTTTTAATTTCATGATATTTGTTATTTTCTAAAATTAATTAATTTTAAAAAATAATCTGATGTGTCCCCCACGTTTCTACAACGCCAACAATAGTTCGGACGTTAACTACCATATGGTCAACCGTTATTTGTAGCGGTTAAAAAGTGACATTTTTTTATAGTTCAAATGTTGTAGTGGTGTTAGCCTAACCAAACTATGTTAGTCTAATATGGTTATAGTCAGTGGCGGACCTAGAAATTTTCTATAGGGGTGTCATCTTTTAAAAAATAAATTAAATAAAAATAAAAATAATTAATAAAAATAAAATCGTAAATACGAAAATACCTTACTCGTACAGGTTAAAAAAGTCCTTGATGTGTTTTCATATTTGAATATAATTGTAGAATACACTTGGTGTTTATAGTGTTAAAAAAAATTCTTTATATACCCTACTAGACAATCATTCAGGAACTTATCGCATATTCGATTTGTAAACTTGTTCTTGATGTAACCCAAAACTGAAAGACTCTTCAACACTTGTCGTAAAATCATAAAATCAATACAAATTAAGGGTAGATTGAAATTAGTTTAGATTGAAAAAATTAGAGATAGGGAATGACTTTTTCCAGTTACACATTGTTCAAAATCGAACACCAAATGAGTTGTAGCTCAACGGAAATTAAGTTTATTAATAATAATAGTGTTCTAGATTTGAATTACCCAACCTACCATTTATATTTTTATACACAAATGACAGTAGGATAATCATTTTTTCAAATTTCAAGGGTATCCCTCACTATCAATTATATTTTTTTGTCTATACGTAAATTACCACCGAGGATTGGATAATCATTTTTCCAAAATTTAGGGGGTGTCCGGGAACACCCCTAAAACCTCCTGGGTCCACCCCTGGTTATAGTATGTTAGACTAATGTGATTATAGTAAGTTTAGTGAATTTAACCACTAACCACAAAAATCATTATTTTACTAACCATATATAATCCACTTTGTGAAAAAGTGGAAGGGAAGAGATGTACACATCAGTGGTCGGTCCCGATGGCCGCCCCGGCGCCGGCCGCCCTATACTATAACCAGCCAGCCTCGGACACGCAAATTCTGATGATGATTAAATAAAACCGACCCACTACCCCCCGGCCCCCCGCAACCCGCTTTTCCCCTTGTTTACAAATTTGCCCATGCCGTCGTACTTTGTCTGGGGAGGGCGTTTCCGGCAATTCCGGTGACGATTCCCAAAACCTCCCCACCACCTTCGCTACGCCATCTCTGTGCTGGTTTAGTTTAATCTAGCATTTGGTTGGGACTTGGGAGCTCCGCTTTTGGGTGCCCAAAGCTCTGACTTACAGACGTAACCTACTGGCTACTACGGACCTTTTTCTATACTACGCCCTTGCTTTTAACCAAAAATTACGATCGCTCTGCCACTCCCCCCCTTCCTTTCTTCGATACTTCCACCCGCTTGTAACTAATTCTGTTTTTTTCTTTTGAAGGAACTTGTAACTAATTCTTGTTAACATTCAGCTGCTTGCATTGCTGGAAGAGCAATTTCAGTTATGTCAATCAGCATCAATTTCGGATGCATAATTGATGCACTCTTTAACTATTAATACTAAATTTGCTAATAAGTTAACAGAGTTCACTAATTTCGTATTTATCAAATGCTCATTGTCCATTCTCTGTCCAAAGGCCATTACTATGCTTAGTATAATGGATAATATACCACCAAAGGTAAGATAACCTAACGATAAAGCTGCCGCAACAGTGAAGGCTAGGGAAGTTTTGTTTTTGGCAGAGATGTCAAATAGATTGAATTGATATATTGGTGGATCAAACGAACTGATAGATTAAATCATAGATCCAAGTGACATATAAAAACAGGGCCAATATGTAATTTAGAAAAAGTTAGGTACCAAAATGGCATAATAAAACATTTAGGCACTAAAACATAATTTCCAAATGAGATTTTTTGTTTAAAAATAAATTTTAGGTATCAAATTGTAGAACATAAAAATTGTAGGTATTTAACTATAATTTCCAAGTATCCATAAAGTCACCCATCCAATTGGATTTGGATTAAATGAATGGAAATAATTGAATATTTGACTGGATGGATTGGATTAAATTAGTGAATTGATACAAAATTACCACATCTATTAGGATATTCATGTTATTGTGCTACAGCTGGCATAGCGCACTCTATATATATATATACACACACACGTCAGTCGTATACTATATGTCAAGTACTACAAGTGAGATACATCTATCCAGATCATGAATTAAATCGAGTTTGGGGTATGATACTATACGCTAACCTCTAATGGATAAACCCTAAGCACCGATTTTCTAAACCCTAACCCAAAGTTTGATTTAATGAAAAACAAAAATAGACCGTTGAGATCGGTCGGAGCTCATCTAACTACATCTAAAGGCTAGATCACCTGACGTATACTATACGCCTGACGTACACCAGTCATCACCATATATATATATGGTGGCTTCTATCGTACCTTGGGTAAAATCTAGGGTACGATATATCCTAAGTAAGAAAATGCTATCTAGACCTAGAATTAACCGGATTTTTGGGCATGATATTATACCCTAACCCTTGATGAGTGAACCCTAGATCTTAGTTTTCTAAGTTAAAGAGCCTAATCCCTAAGATTGTGCCTGTAATTTGTTGCATATATTTCGACAAATCATAGCCGTTGATTTTTGGTTCTAATTAAATTGATCTTAGTGTATGAGATTTATAGAACTAATACATAGATTTTAATCCTTAAGGGTTTGGGAATAATATCATATGCCAAACTATGCTCAATTCGAGGTCTAGATATCATTTTCTTACTCAAGGTATGTCGTACCCTTGATTTTACCCAAGGTAGGATAGAACCACCCATATATATATATATGTGTGTGTATGTATGGTGGTGTCTTCGATGCACTCATTTTTTTGGGTGCATTCAATGCACTCACTTCATAACCGTCATTTTAAACATGTGATTTATGTCAAAATGATGTCAATCATCACTTATGATGTGATGAACAATAATGCACGTGAATTTGCACAAAAACCATTAATGATTTACTTTAATTTGAAGGATTTAGAGTTTAGAGATTTAGGGTTAGGGTTTACAATTTGGGGTTTAGGAATATAACTCAAAATTGGAGGTCTAGTGCTTAGGGTAATCGGCTAATTAGTTGTTATCATTTGTTATATCATCATATTACACTAATTCTATAAATTAAAATTCAAAATCCGACACCTTAAGACCAGTTTTTGAGTTGGGTGCATTGAATAGGTATATGATTAATAATTGAACCTCTTCCAACAATTTGCGTTATTGAGATCAACTGGTTCTTGAAAGTTATTTGGACCAACTGGTTTTTGACATAGTATTATACCCTTTTGTGATCGAGAGATCTTCTGTTCGAATCTCGATGATCCCAATCCGTTATGTTAAGCACATGTTGTCCAGACTTGTGCAAACTTCAAGTCCATATATGGTGGCTTTCGTTTGAAGGGATGTGTTACTAAATGGTATATGATACATAATTGAATCTCTCCTAACAACTCGAATAATTGTGACTAACTGGATCTTGACAAAGAGTTGCATATGAAATACTTTGTGATGCTAACTTTTGCATTTCATTGGTGTATGTTCAAATTAAGGGTATTTACAATAATTACTTAATTAGTCAGCTAAAAAATACTTTTAGGATTCAAGGAGGAATAAATTGTAATTCATTTCTATATACGATAGAATGAAAATAATATTCTTATAAGTTCTACAAACGACTAAAGACTAAAACTATTCATCATACATACTTCTTGTCTCTTGATACATGTGAATTTGGTCTAGCATTTTTATCACGGGTTTTTAACCTGGAATTACAAGTTTGATCCTTTAAGTAGCATGTAACAATAAAATAAAATAAAAATGTATGTCACCCTCATTAAAAATACAACACAAAGTAGATAACTTTAAAAAAATTGAAGATATTTTAGGACAATATTTTTCAAATGGAACCCCTTACGCAAAATCTATACTACGCTACGCCACTGGCTACGATAACAAAAGGATTTTTCTAATGTTGTCGGAGGTTATGTACTTGAATACTTGCAGTTGGGTTGCATTTTAGTGGTCCAAAGATGGAAGGACTACAAATCAACTAGCACATAAGTGACTAATACTATAGCATCCTTTCTATGTCTGGGTAGAGAAGAGCATTGGGTGGGTCAATCGCTAAACTCGCATGAATCCATCCAAAATGAATTTGGGTGGATATGGTGGGTGGATGGGTGTCAGTAATCTTTTTTGATCTCATCCACTTAGGGTGGGTGGTGGGTTATTGGTAGGGGGTGGCAGTCGATCGGTTTTGGTTTAATCGAAAACCCGGTTATTGGTTAAACCGAGCCATCCCTATAGCTGCCGACCACCGACCGTGAGAGTGGTCACGTTTAGCCGGCCAACCGACCGGTCGGTTTCGATTTTAGGCTCGGTTAGCTGGCCAACCGGAAAACTACCTTTTATACAAAAAAAAAAAAACAAAAATTCTGCACCACTCACTCCTAACCCCTCTCACTTCTCGATTCTTCTTCTTCCTTTCCAGAGAAACCCGCCGCTAACCTATCTCTCTCCCTACTCTCTCTCGATTCTCTTCTTCCTTTCCAGAGAAAGGAAAATCGACAAACCCTTGCCGCCAAGCCGAAATCGCCTCCTCCCTCACCTCTCTCGTTCTGCCCTCTCCCTCAATCGTCATTCCCTCTGCCTCTCCGTTGACGGCGATGGGAACAGTGGTGGAACTCGCCGACATCCTCTCTCTCTCTCTCTCTCTCTCTCTCTCTCTCGATATTTCTCCTCCAATCTGAAAGAAGAAAGCGAACCAACAACCAAGAACAAATCGTTCCCTCTTTCTGCTCTTTCTCACTCTCCCTCGTCTTACCCAGAAAATGAGCCGAAGCAAAGCTTCTCCGACGCTCTCATCTTTCATAGACGAAATCGGGCTCGGGACGCCGGCGATGGCCTCCGCCGCGGTGAGTGAAATCCCTCAAGGCTTCAATTTTTCTACAAATTGATTCTTGTTTTATGCATGTTGAGGATTCGCGTTTTAATGATGAGTTTGGGTTATTGGTTATGAAGGGAGAAAAAGTAGAGGGCGACCGGAGGAGGAAAAAGACTCACCGTTGCCAATCACTAAGGAAACTGACTTGTTTTCAACTAGACCGGATACATCTTCGAATTAGGTAGGATTTTGGATTGCATGCTGGGTTTTTTTATTTGCTTTAGGTGATTTTTTTTATTCGGCTAATTTTCTTTTGTTTTCTTGTGGCTCTTGAGGATTGATTTTAGATGAAGGTAAAAGAAGCAGGGAGGAGACCGCCGCTACCGTCGGAGCGTGTGCCGCCGCCGTCGAGGAAGGAGAAGGAGGTCGACTCGACGTTAGGGTTGGAGAGGAGAGGGGTCGTTTTGGTCTTTCGGGTGGGTTGGAGCGGGGTCGTTTTGGGTCTGGGGCAAGGGGTCGTTTTGGGGCTGGCCGGCTGGGGGAAGGGGTCGTTTTGGGTAGGGCTGCGTGGTCGTTTTGAGTCGGGGGGGGGGGTGGTAGGTTAGCCGGTTAACCACCGGTTACCGACCGCGGTTAATCGGCTAGCCGAGCCTCTCCCCCTCTACCCGGCAACCGACCAATGCCAATACAGAGCGGTTTTCGGTTAACTGAAAACCGGTCGATTCGGTCATAACCGACCGGTTAACTGCTAATCGAAAACCGTTCTGCCAGTCCTAGTTATTGGCCTCCGAGACCACCCGATATATTATGCCATTAGTAGTAAATATACATTCAATAATAGTATTTTTTTTGTATCTCAAAATGTTATTAGGGATTGATTCAATCAAATGATTATTATTTTCCATAAATTTTGCTTGACTTAAAACATAATTATACATAAATTATTAAGTAAATATTTATCAATAAAATATTTATTGTTTGCAACTGAGATGATTGATGTTAGACTATGTAATGCTTAATTATTATCAATTTTCTTGACTTTTGTAACTTGATATTTAAATAGCTTATCATAAGATTTTATGACCTATAATTATCTTATTAGTAAAAACAAATTGACCCACCCATAATACTACAAATAGATGTGCGTATCATTTTTTCACCACCCCACCAAAATCTTGGATAAGTAGATTTTAGACTAAAAACCACTTAACCAATCCGTTGCCAATTCCTAGGTATAGAGTTATGTGTGATTTAGGGCTGACTATTTGGTCCGAGTTTTTTAGTTTTACTCGAAACCGGACGGTATAATCCGGACCGAGATTGGATCGGGACCGGATAGTAAACAATTCAATCCCATCTTTGGGTTTAGATTTGAGGTAAAAAAACCGTTCGGGATCGGATCGAAAACTGGATAAAGACCGGATAAGAGAGTTCAACACCCAAAACTTAAGGATAATTTGCATAAATGGTCACAAACCTCTGCATTTAGTACAAAACTTAACCAACTCCTCACCCTTTCAGGCCTTAGGCCACTCAAATCCCCACAAACTCAATATAAAATCAAGACCGAATTGGGACCGGACCGGATCAAGACCAGACTGTATCTAATCCAATCTTTGGTCCTTATATTTTAAAAAAGACCGGACTGGACCGGATCAATTTGGGCCAATTTAACCGGACCAGAACGTATAGCCACCCCTAGTGTGATTGGTTTCATGTCCTAGATGAGTTTAAAGTAGACTTAATAGTTATTTGTATCTCTATTTTCTTGATGTGTCTAAGAAAAAAACATTACATCCATTTTCCATCCTTAAACCAGTTACGGAAAAAAAATATTATCTTAAAATAGGGAGCAAATTGGCATGAAAGTAATTATAGAGTAGCAAACATGCAAATTGGTAATGTTAAGCCAAAGCTCAAAGCTGGTGTGCCTAACTACGTACACCAATCACACTCTTGAATATAAAATAAAGAAAGATATTTGACTACAATGCAATGCTCTGTCTCCTCCCCTTCCCTTCCCTTTTCAATTAATTTATCTTAGATTATGAGTTTTATTAAAAGAAAATGTGGAATCATCATTTTCCACATTGAAATAAGTTAGGGACTCAAATGTTAGGGAAACAAAATTGAGTGAGTGGCGACTGGCGAGCAACCACGAAATAAAAAGTTATTGTGTGATCAAATTTGGAGATGCTCCTCATTCCTCACCGTCTCACAGCACTGTAGTTCACTCACTCGGATTCCAGTACTCCCGGTAAAATTGCGATTTTAGTGAGGGCATTTAAAGGATTTCGTTTAGCTAACAGCTAAACCGCCATTTCCCCCCTCTCTTCTCTCTAGCTTTTCCTCCGCTTTGCATCTTCCACCGCGAAAGGTTGTTGGAGAGAGCTTGAAAGTTGAAGGCATCTCCATTATTTATTCAGAGGGAGAGAGAGAGAGAGAGAGAGAGAGGAAGAGGGGAAGCGGAGAAGACGGGGGAAGCCAATACCAGTTGGCCACTCGCATAACCGTACCGGATGCCAATCTCTGAAGTGGAGACGCACAGGGCGGCCAACAGGTCACACCGCGCGGCGAGACAGCAGCCGGCCGCCGGGAAGCGAGTTCCACTACGGCTGTTGCTGCAAGTGACGTCGATTGCCGGCGGGATACAATTCGGATGGGCTCTGCAGCTCTCTCTCCTGACTCCTTACGTCCAGGAGCTGGGAATTCCGCATGCTTGGTCCAGTGTGATATGGCTCTGCGGGCCACTGTCGGGCCTCATAGTCCAGCCCCTGGTGGGCCACTTGAGCGATCGATGCACCAGTCGGTTCGGCCGGAGGAGGCCGTTCATCGTCGCCGGTTCGTTGCTCATCTCGTTCTCCGTCCTCATCATCGGTCACTCCGCCGATATCGGCTGGCTGCTCGGGGATAGAGGCGATTTCCGGCCGAGAGCGATCGGAGCTTTCGTTTTCGGGTTTTGGATTCTCGATGTTGCCAATAATATGACCCAGGGCCCTTGCAGAGCTCTCCTTGCCGATATGACTGGTAAAATTGACTGAATTCCCTATCCGTTAATGCTTAATTTGGGTCTGATTTCCAGTTTCTGACGTTCGTGTTCTCAACTTCGAAAACCCTAATCGAGCTGATAATTAGTGAATTACTGCTCTGCTCTGCTTTACCTTTCCTTTCTTGCTTCGTTTTTCTCTTTTCACCCGCTTGTTTGGCCATTAGTGATTGATTGATTAATTAGCTTATCTTAATACGATATTTTTGGTTCATTGATTGTCATATGGAGAAGCATTCTTGGTGGTGATTAATTAGTTAATTATTATTATTGTACCCTATTCTTGTCGTTGCTACTTTATCATCCTTTTCAAGATTCGATCATTCTCTACCAGCTGCCCAAGTAGTGCTCTGTTGGTGGGGACCTGGCTAAGATTATTGTCAAATGTTCAAGGACTATTATGCCCTAATCCAATTTATTAAGAAACAAAAAGAGAGTTTCCCGGTTCATTCGCCGGGGGAGGAAGAGAGCTTCCGAGTCAGTGTCATAGTTACATTCGGGCAGAGATTTGGATGGTGGGGTCGGAGTCGGGCCGGTTGGTGAAGAATGGGAATAAAGTGACTGGGAATGTGGGTATGGCGTGGAGGGGTCAGTTGTAGCGGCCTGGTCGCCATTCCTGCTTGATTTGCTTCTCATAAGTAGCTGCCTCGGGAGGGTTAGTACGTAAGGTGGGGACTGGGATGGCTTCAACAAGCCAAAACTTCACTGTCATATGTTTTCACTATTCAAGGTTGTCCAGAATCCCAAATTAAGCACATTCTTCATGATTTCGTTATTGAAGAAAATGGAAGAGAGGGTATTAATGGTTTCCAGAATTGGGTTATCATTTATATTCCCGGCCCTACAGGTCAGTGGTGAATAAAAACTTAAGCTTTTCCATTTAGTGGTCTTCCGTCCGAGCTGTAGGGTTTTTTTTTTCAATAGGACGAGCTTAGGAGTTAGGAGGATCTACTGGTGCCGTGTTACGTATCCTTTGGAGATAGAAAATTGGACTGAACAGAAAACGTTGTCTTCTCAAGCCAACGCGGGCTGTACTTAATAGCCGAGAATTCAGTATTCACCCGCCTCTGGTAGCGATGAATTGATGTAGTGTTTGCAAGTTAGGTAATCCAGCAGAAAAGTACTTGTTGGGTGTGGTCAGTGTTCTTTGCGCCAGATATATTATCCCAAAATAATGATGGTACACCTAATGTACTGGAAAACTTCTTTTGGACAGTTTGTTTGAGTGGGTCCGAGTTCTGTTGAAGTTTGTATCCTTTATAGTGCACATGTGGTTGCATTTGGTTTTGATGCTCTGTTTTTTGGATGGTTGCTGACATTAGCGCCTTTGTTGTTTCCATCTATGTCTAAATTTAGGGAAAATGGCAATGGGCTCACTTTCTTTGGCCCGATTTTTCTCGCTCCCTGTTTCTTTTGAAATCTACTTTTCTTCGAGCACCGGACAACTCTCGGGAAATGATACTTTTAAATAATTTTACATGTTGGATGATATTTTAGCTGTTACTATTTTCTGTTGTTCTCCACCTATTGTTGTTATGTTCTTGTCAAGTGGAAACCTGGAAATTGGACTTCAAGTGAAAAATTGCCTTTAGTTCAAAACCTGTATAGATATAGATTGGCTCAACTTTCAATGTATGATGTTGATCACTTGATATGTTCACAGGGAAAGATCACCGCAGGACTCGAGTGGCGAATGCTTATTTCTCACTTTTCATGGCTGTTGGCAATATCCTTGGCTTTGCTACTGGATCATTCAGTGGTTGGTACAAAATTTTCCCGTTCACTGTAACAGCTGCATGTAACGTGGACTGCGCCAATCTTAAGTCGGCTTTCTATCTTGATATTATCTGTATTGTAATCACTGCATATATCAGCATTTCATCTGCTAAAGAACCCTCTATAGGGTTGTTGTCTCAAAGATCAATACCTGCTGCTGAAGAAGCAGTGGAAGTGTCCAGCCATGCAGAAGAGGCTTTCCTCTGGGAGCTGTTTGGGACTTTCAGATACTTCCCATCATCTGTTTGGACTATATTGCTAGTTACTGCCCTGAACTGGATTGGTTGGTTTCCATTTCTTCTCTTTGATACTGACTGGATGGGGCGAGAAATCTTTGGAGGTGACCCTGATTCAGGACCTAGTTATAGTGCTGGAGTCAGAATGGGAGCATTTGCTCTCATGTTGAATTCGGTTCTATTGGGAATAACTTCAGTACTGATGGAGAAGATCTGCAGGAAATGGGGAGCTGGCTTCATATGGGGACTCTCAAACATCTTTATGGCTCTATGTTTCCTTGCAATGCTTATAATTGCCTACGTAGCCTACCATATCGGCTATTATGGTGATGGTGATGCTCAACCACCAGTTGGCATTCTTGTTGCTGCACTGATTGTTTTTGCACTTCTTGGAATTCCATTGGCAGTAAGTTTGCGGAATCCTTCCCTCTGATGACCTATAGCTTTAAGTTGGTTTTCTTCAATCTTTTTGGTGAATCCTTTTTGCTGGATTTTGCATTTTCGCTCTAGACTCTCGTAAATAAAAGGAGCCATCGGAAACTTATCT